GGATTTATATTTGTTTGTTTTCAAAATGACATTGTTGCAATTATAACCTAAGTTTCAGTAAATATTGGATAAAGTAAATGTCTTTTTGTACTACTTGGTTTCATGTCTTGGCATAATATTATCCATGAAATTTTTCCCTCCCCCAAGTGGATTCACACTGAAACATTTTTTCTTTTTCCTCTAATACAATTGATTTGGGATAATGATGATGACTTGTCCATCTTTCAGAAAGTGGTAGATTTCTGTAGATTAAGATGTAGGAGGCTGGGTGCGGTGGCTCACACCTGTAATCCCAGCACTTTGGGTGGCCAAGGCGGGAGGATGTCTTGAGGCCAGGGGTTCAAGACCAGCCTGGACAACATAGTGAGACCTCATCTCCACAAAATTTTTTTTAAATGGCTCGGTGTGGTGGCTTATGCCTGTAATCCCAGCACTTTGGGAGGCTGAGGTGGGTGGATAACTTGAGATTAGGAGTTTGAGACCCGCCTGGGCAACATGATGAAACTCCATCTCAATTAAAAATACAAAAAAATTAGCTGGGAGGTGGTGGACACCTGCAATTCCAGCTACTAGGGAGGCTGAGGTGGAAGAATTGCTTGAATCTGGGAGGCAGGGGTTGCAGTGAGCAGAGATCATACCACTGCACTCCAGCCTTGGGGACAGAGAGCTACTCCATCTCAAAAAAAAAAAAAAAATTCTACCTGTTATCTTCTCTGATTATATCCCAGCGAAAACAGAAAGTAACAATTAAAAAAAAAAACCTACGGTCCCTGGCCCCCCACTGCCCCACCTGCTCCCCTCAAGAATCATTGAGGAAAACAAACCTATGATACTTACTTGGGAATTCAGCCATTTCTTAACAGGTGGATCAAAAAAGGAATTAAAGAACTTTTGTTTGTTTTGTTTTTTGTTTGTTTGAGAGAAAGTCTTGCTCTGTCGCCAGGCTGGAGTGAAATGGCGTGGTCTCGGCTCACTACAACCTCTGCCTCCCGGGGTCAAGCACTTCTCCTGCCTCAGCCTCTCGAGTAGCTGGAATTACAGGCGCACACCATCACGCACAGCTAATTTTTGTATTATTGGTAGAGACTGGGTTTCACTGTGTTGGCCAGGCTAGTCTGGAACTCCTGACCTCAAGTGATCCTCCCACCTAGGCCTCCCAAAATGCTGGAATTACAGGTGTGAGCCACTGTGCTTGGCCTCACAGACATTTTTAATTATAATAAAAATTACAGTTACTTTGCACAACATGTAACAATTTGTCCTCCTGCTGGCAATGACCAGGATAGGTGCCTGCGTTCCCACAACCTCATTTGCCTTAGATGCTAGCACTCTTTTGAATTTTTGTCATTGTCACGGGTGCTGTTCTGGCAGGAGTGTTCCTGACACTTCGAGAGTCTGAGCATCTTTGCCCGTGCTTGTAGGATGCCTGGAGCGCCTCTTCTGAGAATTGCCTGGAACTATCTTGGCTCAGTTTTCCATGCAGTTGTTTGCTTTTTTGTTATCTGCTCGTAGGAGACCTTTGTTTATTAAGGTCAAGGAGGCCCAGGAAGTGGAGCCAGCCTTGTGAGCAGGGACAGATCACAGAGGGCTGAGCTGCTGGGTTCTTTCTGGGGCAAGGGGCAGATCAGAGGGCCTGATAGAGAGCCTCCACCCCCCACCCCAACTACCCACTTACAGTGTGTTCAACACTTACAGACCAGAGAGCAGGAACGTGCGGGGCTCAGGGTGGCATCGGTGTCAGGTTCTTACAAAGTAAAGTACAAACAAAGTGAGAAAATATAAGATAAAATAAAGGCAGTGAGGTCCTGGGCCTGAAGACCCTGAGAAAAGGCTAATGGGTCCCAGTCCACACCCTGCCCCTTCCTTTCTTTTAAATGTCTGCAGCAACCCTGTGAATGTGCATTAATATTCTCATTTAGTGAAGGATTCAGCCAGGCATGGTGGCTCATGCCTGTAATCCCAGCACTTTGGGAGGCCATGGCACACATACTGCTTGAGACCAGGAGTTTGGGACCAGCTGGCCAACATGGCAAATCGCGTCTCTACTAAAAATATAAATGTTAGGATTGAACCCAGGAGGCGGAGGTTGCAATGAGCAGAGATTGCACCACCACACTGTAGCCTGGGGGACAGAGCGAGACTCCATCTCAAAAAAACAAAAAACAAGCCGTGATATAGATTTTAGCCAGGTGTGGTAGTGGGTGCCTGTATCCTAGCTACTTAGAAGGCTGGGAAATGAGAATCGCTTGAACCTGGGAAGTGGAGGTTGCAGTGAGTAGAGATTAAGCCACTGAACTCCAGCCTGGACAATAGAGTGAGACTGTCTCAACAAAACAAAACAAAACCCAGTTTAATGAAAAATCTGGGGAGACCCAGAGAGGCGAAGTGACCCAGCCCAGAGAGGAATGACAAACAGAAATGGAACTTAAGCTTAGATTCCACGCCCTAACAGTCTTTTAATTTTTTATTGTTTCACTTCCCTTCATCGTATTTTGTTTTATTTCATTGTTTTTATTCTAAGGGCTCATGAACAAATGCGTGGAACTGCAATGTGCATACAGTAGGCGCCCAATCGTAGGCAGTGCTGCCCCTGCTCCCAGCCCGCACGTGGCTTCGCTAATGGGCCTGAGACTGGCAGTGCCGCCCTCCCGCCCGCGAGCAGCCTGGCTCCAGGCCGAGGGGCAGCGGAGAGTGGCCAGGCCGAGCGCAGGAGGCCAGATGGGCCTTCCATGGCGCGGCCCGACGAAGTCGTTCTTTTTAGGGGGCTGTGTAGTATCCACCCCGAGGCAGTTTATTTTTAGCTGCGTGAAGGCTACAATGGAGACGCCTCCCCTGTTTCCCTGCGCTCGTCCCACCTACTCCTTGACGCCCAGGTGCCCGTGGCTGCTCCTGGCTGCTGTGTCCGGGTCTGTGGAGCGCAGGGTCCTGCTAGAGGTCCCTGGGCACCCCCAACTCTCGGCCTCCGTTCCCTGGCAGAAAAGATTCCAGATCCCAGGTCATGGTCCCCCACCCCCACTCGAACCTCCATCCCGTTCTGCGCCCGTCTTGAATTGCTCTTTAAAATATAATAGTAATAATAATTTCCACGTCGATTTTGGATTCGGGAGTATACGTGCAGGTTGGTTACATGGGTGTACTGTGAGGTTTGGGGTACCAATGGTCCTGTCACCCAGGTAATGAGCATGGAACCCAGTCGGTGGTCTTTCAGCCTTTGCTTCCCCCAGCCCCGGTGGTAGCCCCGAATCCGCTGGTCCATCTTTGTGCTCCTATGCAACGCATTGCCCTTGACGGGCCAGGCAATCTCCCCGAGGTGAGATCTTTCTGTAGCCTCCATCCTCGACACCCTAGCCCAAGCCAGCTCAGAGGCGCCCTGACTTGCCCACGGGGCCTGTATCCAAGCTCGCCCAAGCCCCTCGCTTCCAGGCTCTGCGCGCCGTCGGGCGTGGTGGGGCTCCGCGAGCCCAGCGCGGGCCTTGCGGCGGGGACACCCGGCAGGGTAGCGCTCTGCCCTCTGCAGCCCATCCGGGCCGGCATCCTCTGGGGTCGTGTGGGTGACGGCCCTCCCCTAGAGGGACTGAGCTGGGCTGACCCGCAGGGTCTCGGTGGGGTCTCCAGCCGCAGTCCCAGCCCGCTCCGCGCCCTCCCCGCGGGGGTCGGTAGCTGGGGTACCTGGTTCGTCCACGCCAATCAGCGCGTTCGGAGCAGCGCGCTAAGTGGCGGCCCGAGGGCGGGCTGGGTGCGGCTCTGCAGGCTCCAGGAGGCCTGGGCGGCGCAGGCGGCGGGAGCGCGGGAGAAGGCGACCCTGAGCCCGGAGCCACGCAGCGGGTAGGCTCCCTCCGGATCCGGCCGCGACCCGGCCCCGCGCCCTCCAGGCCGCGCGATCGCAAAGCGTCTGCTGCCATCTGGTGGCGGCGCCCGGGCAGCTGCGACGCGGGGAGGCCAGCCTGGGCAGGTGCTCAGACCCCACCCAGCGTCCCCGCGCCCGCGCCGCGCCCCCGAGAAGCTCCCCAGGGCCCCAGGCACTGCTCGGCGTCCCTCCTCCGTCCCGCGTCCTCAGGGAACCAGCGCCAAGTGGCGGGGCCACGCCCAGGGGGTGACGTGCGTCCCTCTCTGACACGGTTTTCTCATCTCCAAAGTGGAGTTCCTCGAAGAGCGTACCTTGTGGAGCCTTCGAAAGGCTCCCACGTTCCCTTAGCTCAGAAAGCAGGCCTTGCCGGTAAGGCGCGAGGCTGCGGGCACGAGGCTGCGGTTTGGGGGCAGCCGTGAGTCTTTGCACACTGGCAGAGAATTAACCTCGGAGCCGGCTGGGGGTGAGGCGGGTGGTGGCGGGGGTGCGGAAAGAGGGAGGCGGGCCGGGCTTCCACCAGGAGCACTTCAGATCGCCTTCACCGTGAAGAGCAAGGCATGATCCCTGCAGAACGGGCCGTTGGCTCGGAGGGGGTGGATGGGGAGGGCGAGTGGAAGGGAGCAATGACCTGGGGTCCGGAATCCTCTGAGCCTGGTGACTGGGGCCTGAGAGAGGCAGGTAGAGCCCCAGGCCCAGGCAAGAGGGAGAAGAGTATTAGCTGCTGTTGTGGCAAACCCCACGGGGTCGTCTGCAAACCATTTCCCAGACTTCTTCTTCCGTCAAGCCCTGGCTCAGCTCTGACATCACTCGTGTTGGCCACATCGCCCATTTTCTGCTTCCCCCACTGTAAACTGAGGATGCCAATGGCAGGCCCCACTCCTGGATGAGGTACCTGGTGTACAGATGGCTCGGCCACCCCGCTGACCACGCCCCCTGGAATCATAGTTCTCCGGAGTTTTCCCTCTAAGCTCCCACAGCTGCCTCCAAACCTGGAGGTCCCCCATAGCTCCTGCCTTACAGCCAAGGTCTGTTTCCTGAGCCAAGGGAAGGTGGGTGGCTTTTCTGGGTACCCCCTCTCTATTGTCACAGCCTAGAGGGTCCAAACCACAGATCATGTTTTCTTTCCGAAAAAAGGAGCCCCACTGAGGCAGAAACTTCATCATTTTAATAAGATGATGATATTTAAGGAAAATAAATATTTCTTCCTTTCTTTTTTTTTTTTTGAGATGGAGTTTCATTCTTGTTACCCAGGCTGGAGTGTAATGGCACGATCTCGGCTCACCACAACCTCTGCCTCCTGGGTTCAGGCAATTCTCCTTCCTCAGCCTTCTGAGTAGCTGGGTTTACGGGCACGCGCCACCGTGCCCAGCTGATTTTTTTGCATTTTTAGTAGAGACGGGGTTTCACCATGTTGACCACGATGGTCTCGATCTCTTGACCTCGTGATCCACCCGTCTCAGCCTCCCAAAGTGTTGGGATTACAGGCGTGAGCAACTGCGCCTGGCCGAATATTTCTTTATAAAAGAAAAAGTGATTTGGATCAGCTCATATGCCAAGCACTGTCCTGGAGACCCAGGCCCAGTGCATGGCTGTGTGCGTTTCCAGCAGACAGGCAGCTTTAATTACTTAGTGTGCCACAGAGGTGGCCTGCAGCACCGGGTGTGATAGTCATGTACACACCAGTAAGGGGGAGTCTCGGCAGCTGCCGGCACTCTGCCTGTGAAAACGCAGGCTCCGATTCCAAGGTATCAAATATTTGCCTAGCTGTTCAACATTTCTTCAAATAATATACTCACAACTAATTCATATCTGGACTCGACATCTTCATCTCTCGCAGGCCTCCCTCCTGGATTAGCATGTCTTGTCTATTCCGGGAGAAAGTTGTCCTACATTCTAAAAATAGGGCTCGGAGCATGCACAGTCAGGGGAGGCTTTATTTATTTATCTTAAGGGTTGTCCTCTGAAGACAGCTGCAGCTGAGCCTGGGACTCACTCATCAAACAGTCATTCTCGGCCCAGCGCGGTGGCTCATGCCTGTAACCCCAGCACTTTGGGAGACAAAGTTGGGTGGATCACCTGATGTCAGGAGTTCAAGACCAGCCTGGGCAACATGGTGAAACCCTGTCTCTACTAAAAATACAAAAATTAGCTGGACGTGGTGGTGGGCACCTGTGACCCCAGCTACTCAGGAGGCTGAGGCAGGAGAGTTGCTTGAACCTGGGAGATGGGGGTTGCAGTGAGCCGAGATTGTGCCACTGCACTCCAGCCTGGGTGACAGAGTGAGACTCCGTCTCAAAAAACAACAACAAAAACTCAACAAAAAACAGCCATTCGTGGGTGCTCAGCAGAGGCTGGGACCTTCTGACAAGTCTGTACTGACTGTTGCCTTCTGAAAGAGGTGGTGCTCTGCTCCAAGGGATAGCTCTCGAATCCGAGACATGGGTCTCTCTCCTCCATACATGGATTCTTCTCCTCCTAGAGGTTAAAATCCCCGGATGCCCCTGTTTCATCTAGGACCCAGTGGGGAGCAGGTGGCTTGCTCCTTCTGGCCATCCAGGCAGCATTTAATGAATAACTGTTTGCACAGGGGACCCCAGGAGGAGAAGTGGTACCCTGGGTGTAGCAGCAGTGAGCTGTTCCCATGCCTGGGGCCTCGGGGCTTCTGGAGGAGGCGTTCCCTGATGCAGGCCAAGGTGGCTGTGTAGGGAGCCCTCCCCCATAGCAGTGGTGACCGAAGAAGAAGGAGGAGCCCAGGGAACCCCCAGCTATTCTCCTCTGCCCCAGTCTCCTGCTAGGGCCTCCCAGGTCCAACTGCCCAGAAGGCAGAGTGAAGCATCCACAGATGGAGTCTGTGCAGGGGTACACAGAGCCAGTGGAGGACGGTACAGGCGGTGTGCAGGGCAGAGGGGAGCCTGCAGCCCCTCTCTCTTTCTTGGACCGGCTCCACCTCTCCAGCCTCCTTCTGTGTCTCCCGTGCTAAGTACCAGCTCTCTTCCTTTCTCATGTTTCACCATCTCTGTCTCTCACTGACTATCCTCTCCGTTTTCCTCTTGATATATCCTCCCCACTTCTCGGTGGCAGAAGAGGCAAGGTGAGTACCATTCACCTCTTCCAAGTGATCCAGTGGCAGTGGGGACCCAAGCATTCCACGCCATGTTGCCGAAGGAAGGAGAGCAGCTGAGCCCTGCAGACCTGGGGACAGGCTTCATTTGATTCTTGGCTCTTCCTTCTCTGAACTGCTCTAAATGAAGCCAGTCAGGATTACTTGCATTTCATTACTTCAAGGACGTCCTCCTCCGAGTCTTGTCATCCCTCTCCTGCCTTGGCCTGGAATTAGGGAGGGGGAGTTAGTCCCCTCCTCTCTGCAGCCCCTCTGGCCGGCATCAAGCTCTCATTGAGAGTTCCTTCTGTGCACCCAGCCTCAGAAATGATTTGGGGTGCCTGTGCTGGGACAACACAGTCCGCACACGGGCAGGGACCCATGACCCATTCATTCAGTCACTGGACAGAATGCATCCACAGCTTCCCTGCTTGGGCTCTGGGCTAGACTCTTTTTTTTTTTTTTTTTTTTTTTTTGAGATGGAGTCTTGCTCTGCCACCCAGGCTTGAGTGCAGGGGTGCAATCTCACTGCAACCTCCACCTCCTGGGTTAAAGTGATCCTCCTGCCTCAGCCTCCTGAGTAATTGGCACTACTGTCTCATGCCAGACACATGATGCCTAACTACTTTTTTGTATTTTTTTTTTTTTAGTAGAGATGGATTTCACCATGTTGGCCAGGGTGGTCTCAAACTCCTGACCTCAGGTGATTTATCTGCCTCGGCCTCTCAAAGTGCTGGGATTACAGGTGTGAGCCACTGTGTCCAGCAGTTTAAAAATGTTTTTATTTTTATTTTTATTTAAGAGACAGTCTTGCTCTGTTGCTGTGGTTGGAGTACAGTGGCATAATCCTGGCTCACTGCAGCCTCTAACTTCTGGGCTCAAGTGAGTCTCCCACCTCAGCCTCTTAAATAGCTAGGATTACAGGCATGTACCGCCACACAAAATGTTTTTTTTTTTTTTAATTTTTGTTGTTGTTTTGTTTCGTTTTTTGTTCTTAGATGGAATCTTGCTCTTTTGCCCAGGCTGAAGTGCAGTGGCACGATCTCGGCTCACTGCAACCTCCGCCTCCTGGGTTCAAGCAATTCTCATGCCTCAGCCTCTCAAGTAGCTGCAATTACAGTTCGTGCCACCATGCCCGGCTAATCGTCGTATCTTTAGTCAAGACGGGGTTTTCCCATGTTGGCCACACTAGTCTTGAACTTTTGGCTTCAAATGATCCATTGGCCTCAGCCTCCCAAACTGCTGGGATTACAGGAGTGAGCCACTGTGCCCAGCCAATCTCTGGCCTTGACAGAGCAGGTAGGGAGGTTGTGTAGCAGATTAGCAGATAACCCCATCCAAGCCTCTTTCTCCTCTTCAGGTAAACAGGGGTGAGAATCCCTACCTGCAGGTTTGTGTGAGGGTAATATGAGCTCACAGAGAGTTGCATTATTATTAAATGACAGGGACGTCTGCTCTGCCCCCAAAGGCTCCAAATACACATAAAAGGTGTAACCTCAGATGCGGGTGAGGAGGCACCACCATGAGCGTGGAAGGTACAGACTCGAAACACCAGGAGGAAGTTGGCATCCCGGCGGGAACAGATGGACCTGAGCCTCCAACTTCCACTTGGGTTTTAAATTGAATGAAAGAATCCCCAGAATGAATATCCCCTCCGTGAAGCACGTCCACCGCGAGGAAACCCTAGTAACAGATCTCACCATGGCACAAAGAAAATCCTGCTCTCATAGTCTTGGATGATATATACAGCCAGCTAATGCAAAATACATTTTCATGTTATTTTTGCTTATTTTTAAGTCCACTGGGTGCATCGTAGCTGATCGCTGTTCTGACATTTTTCTTCCCTCATTAAGAAAGATGCCCCCGGTGAGTTACCTGTGCTGGGCTCAGAGCAGAAAATAAATATTGCTGGCATCCACTTTCCTATGCTCTCTGGGTGTAATTAAGAAAAAGGCACCTGCAGGAGAAAGAAAGCGCAGGGTAGAAAATGGCCGAGTGGTTACTGCTCATGAGAACTCCCCAGTCTCTACAACCATCCAAATGTCACTCCTTCCATGACACTCTTCTCTCTTTCTTTCTTTCTTTCTTTCTTTCTTTCTTTCTTTCTTTCTTTCTTTCTTTTTCTTTCTTTCTTTTTCTTTCTTTCTTTCTTTCTTCCTTTCTTTCTATCTCTCTTTTTTTTTTTGATGGGGTCTGGGCTAGGCGCAGGGGCTCACACCTGTAATCCCAGCACTTTGGGAGGCCGAAGTGGGTGGATCACCTGAGGTCAGGAGTTTGAGACCAACCTGGCCAATATGGTGAAACCCCATCTCTATTAAGAGAGAGAGAGAGAGAGAGAGAGAGAGAGAGAGAGAGGTCTGTCTCTGTCACCTGGGCTGCAGTGCAGTGGTACAATCATAGCTCACTGTAGCCTTGAACTCCTGGGCTCAAGTGATCTTCCTGCCTCAACCTCCCGAGTAGCAGGGACCACAGGCGTATGCCACCACACCAGGCTATATATATATATGTAATTTTTTGTAGCGATACCATCTCACTGTTGCCCAGGCTCGTCTCGAACTCCTCCCGCTTCAGCCTCCCAAAGTGCTGGAATGATCCTCCCGCCTCAGCCTCCCAAAGTGCTGGGAGGGAGGCCCTATGCCGGGCCCATTATGTTCTTCTGGATCCGTTGGGTCCCCCTCCTTCTCTGAGCCCTAACACTTCCCTTTGGGGACTTTTCCTTTCCATTGCGGTTTCGTTTTCCCCCTTCACACGCCTCTCATCCAGCTGTAGTGGGCAGTCTTGTTGTTGGTTTTGTTCAAGGCATCCTGCTTTTCTTTGGGGGACCCACCCATGATTGACAGTTCATGTGATTTAGGTAGAGCTCCAGTAGGGAGTGGGTACTACCCGGGACTGGCCAGCCAATGAGAGCATATAAGTCCACCCCAGAAGTCTGCCCAGCATGGGGGAGCCTGGGGTGCAGCGGCAGGCCACTGTGATTGGTTAAAGGGTTGGCAGTAAGCTAAGCTGAACCAATCAGAATGAATCCCAAGATATGGCTGGGTACTGCTTAACAAGCCCCTCTCCTTGAGCTGAGGCTGGGTCTGAAACTGTGGTCACCTTTGGCGCCACTATGCAGAGCCTGCCTGAGAAAGAATCCCGCTCCAAGGACAGCTGGGCCTCTCATGACAATCTGGGTCCTGATGCCACTGTTTGAGCCCCCTGGGTGCAGGGCTGCTGGGGTCTCCCAGAAGGAGATTGCTCTTCTCCTCTCCCAGAGGTGTCCCTGGGAAAGCTTTGGACCCTGCCATCTTGCCCATCCCCACCATGCCCACCACTGCTCTGGCTGAGGCAGCTCTCCACTTAGTCTTGCTTTGGGCTCAGTCTCCTAGAGAGGCAGAGTCGGGCACCGTGGGCATAGTAGCCTTGCAGCCTGCCTGGCTCTCAGTTCTCAGGAGCTGGCCAGGGTCACAGTTACCGTAGCCCAGGGGGATTCTGCGAGAGACAGATGGGCTAATTTGGCTCGTTCGTCATTTTTAATGCCCTCATTTCCTCTTTTACAGGCAGAAATGGCTCATAAATGGCACAGGAGGCTTCGGGGAGCTGAACTTGTACTTCCCGCTGGGACTTGCACTTACCTTTTGGTTCAGGAGCTGGCTGGCCGATTGTCCCAGGACCTCATTGGTCACCTTCAGTCAGAGCTTTGATCCCTCCACTTTGGAAAGGGTTTTGATTATCGAATGCCAGGCTCTCTTTCAGTCAATTTTCCTTGGTCCCACTTTGTTTCATTTCGCTTTAAAATAAATAAATAAATTGGCCGGGTGTGGTGGCTCACACCTGTAATCCCAGCACTTTGAGAGACTGAGGCGGGCAGATCACCTGAGGTCAGGAGTTCAAGACCAGCCTGGCCAACATGGTGAAACCCTGTCTCTACTAAAAAATACACAAAAAAAATGAGCCGGGTGTGGTGGTGGGTGCCTATAATCCCAGTTACTCAGGAGGCTGAGGCAGGAAAATCACCTGAACCCGAGAGGTGGAGGTTGCAATGAGCTGAGATTATGCCAAAGCACTCCAACCTGGGCAACAGAGCGAGACTCCATCTCAAAAAAAATGATTTTCTGGGCTGAGAACGGTGGCTTATGCCTGTAATCCCAGCTCTTTGGACGGCCAAGGCAGGTGGATTGCCTGAGGTCAGAAGTTCAAGACTACCCTGGCCAACACTGTGAAACCTTATCTCTCCTAAAAATACAAAAATATTAGTCAGGTTTGGTGGTACACTCCTGTAGTCCCAGCTACTCAGGAGGCTGAGGCATGAGAATCGCTTGAATCCGGGAGGTGGAGGTTGCAGTGAGCCGAGATCATGCCACTGCACTCCAGCCTGGGCGACAGAGCAAGACTGTCTCAAAAATATATATGTATTTTCCATAGAGATGGGGTCTTTCTATGATGTCCAGGCTGTTCTTGAACTTCTGGGCTCAATCCAACCTCTCACATCAGCCTCCCAAAGCGCTGAGATGACAGACATGAGCCCCTGTGCTCAGCCTATTTGCTCCACTTTGGACCCTTTCTCCTCTCTTGGCCCCTTTCCTTCTGTTACCTACAAATGTGTTTCTCAAACTTCGAGCCTCTAAGAGGCACTGGGCGAGCACACCCTGAGCAGAGGCCTTCCTGATGCCCCAGTCCTCTGCAGCTTTAGTTTCTGCCATTCCCCTCTCCTGGGGTGTCCTGTCCCTTCCCTGAGTAGCCCTTATCGCAACCTGCCACTGCTGAGCATTTTATCGTGGTTGCTTATTTGGTTCACTGCTGTTACACTGTCAGCTCTCAGAAGACAGAAACTCACTTCTTTTTCCCCTTAAGTACGCTTGCACCCAGCTCAGAGACCGGCCTATGGAGGGCCCTTGAGAAACATCCACAGCGTGCTGGAGTGGGCGGGTGTGAGTGTGCCACGCGCTGGCTGCGGTGCTGGAGGGGAACCAAGCAGAACCTGCCCTAGTGCTGCTCCCAGGAGGCACTGCCCAGCATGGGGGAGCCTGGGATAGACTCTTTTTTTTTTTTTTGTCGGAGACAGGATCTCACACTGTCACCCAGGCTGGAGTGCAGTGGCACGATCTCAGCTCACTGCAGCCTCGACCTCCCGAGCTCAAGCCATCCACCGCAACCTCCCAAGTACCTGGGAATACAAGTGCATGCCACCACACTCAGCTGATTTTTGCTGTTGTTTTATGTAGAGACAGGGTCTCAATATCTTGCACATGTTGATCTTCTACTCCTGGGCTCATCGAGGAATCCTCCTGCCTTGACCTCCCAAAGTGCTGAGATTTACAGGCGTGAGCCACCATGCCCCGTCCTGGGTGGACTCTTGTGACTGAAACGCAGAGCTCTAAGAGAAACGCAGAAATGAGAGAAGGGGAGCATCCATCCAATGCTTGATCAGATTCATCTCCTGCTGTTCTTTCCGGTCCTGACTTCCCATGGAGGAATTCGGCCCCCGGGGCAGGAATGGGCTGTGGTTTCTCACCTGCCCCACATTATTAGGCATGTGCATGGCATGTGACTAATCAGCGCTAGCCCATGAAAAATGGCGTGCATCTACAGAATGTCGAGGTGTCTATGCAATGCCTTATTTTAGGTCTGCAGTGGGTTAGGGAAGCACAGTGGATTATGAGACTCCAGCCTGAGTGTCTTCATCCAACAAAGGACTGACATTTTCTCTTGTGTGTGTGTGTGTGGATTTTTCTTTTTTTTGAGACAGGGTCTCAAAAATCTGATTGCAGATCACCCCTGTAATCTCAGCCCTTTGGGAGGTGAAGGCAGGAGGATTCCTTGATGAGCCCAGGAGTACGAAACCAGCCCGGGCAACATAGTGAGATACTGTCTCCACAGTTGCCCAGGCTGGAGTGCAGTGGTGCAATCTCGGCTCACTGCAACCTCTGCCTCCTGGATTCAAGTGATTCTCCTGCCTCAGCCTCCTGAGTAGCTGGGATTACAGGTATGCACCACCATGACTGGCTAATTTTTGTATTTTTAGTAGAGATGGGGTTTCACCATGGTGGCCAGGCTGGTCTTGAACTCCCGACCTCAAGTGATCCCCCCCCGCCCCCCGTGGCCTCTCAAAATGTTGGGATTATGGGCGTGAGCCACCAGATCTGGCCAGAAGTAACAGATTCATTCCAAGAGCCCATCTCCATTGTTCCTACATTGTTCACAACTGACAGCTGGCCTTTGGGACCCCAAACACGTAGCTGGTTCTAGCTCCAGGCAAGGTGTGAGGCAAGGCTATGGGTTCAAATCCCAGCTCTACCACTGAGTAGTGAAAGTCCTGGGGAAGTCCCTTGACCTCTCACAAGCTCAATTCCTGCACCTGAGAAGTGGATATAATGGGTAGCCCCAGACGAGGATGGAGGTTGGGTCCATGCCTGGGCCATATTGGAGCACCCTCTGCAGAGCCTCTGCATGGCCGCCCCAAAGCCGGGGTGCAAAGCCGCTCTGCCTCTATCAAAGCAGGGAGCAGCTGCCTCCTGACGATGTTAGCCAGGCATGGGGCTCTCTGCCCTCCCCACCTGGGCTTTGTGTAATCTTGGGGTTCAAAAGGAACCTCTTGAATGATGTCTCAACAACTAGTAAAAACTCATCAGCATTTATAGAAATAACACACCCTGTTGTCAACTGCCCCCAGACCCTTTGCCACCCCTCTGGTGGCAGCATGTTTCCCACTCGTGGGGAGAAAGGGCCTTGCTTGGTCTCAGGGACCAGCCAGGCAAGCAAGGAGGCCACAAGCGCAGGACTAATCATGCCCTCAGGTGCTCACACGTGGCCTGCTCCCGGCCCTTGTTTCAGAATGTGGCCCTTCCTAAACTGCTTTAGCTGGCTGGGGGAGAGGTGGAGGTTGGAGGGGTAGAGAGGGCAGGGGGCTCTCCGCCTTCCCTCTGCCCTTCTCTGCCGCCCAGTAGACAGGGACTTAGCACTTCACAGGTGCAGCTCCACGTCAGTCACCTTGCAGGCTCTGCTTGCAAATATAGGCTGGTGCTTGGGATTCAAGATGCCTGACAAAGGCCCCATCCACAGCGGCTGCCCACAGAAGCCATCTCTCTGTTGCTCCCAGGAGCCAGGAGCGCCCGCAGCTAGCGGGGGAGTTCTGATTTTGAATCAGGGAGTTCTGACATCAGTTCCAGTCTCGTTTGTCAGAAAGAAACTGTCTTGTCTGCCATCTTTCCAGATAGTTCCTTCTAAGAGCAGAAGTAGTCCATTCCACACCTCTGATCACTAACATTTGGGGTTTGGTTTTTGGTATTATTATTATTATTATTTTTTGACACATCCTGCTCAGGAAGGTGTTATTTTCATACAGGAAACATGTTCTGAAAAACGCAACTCTACACAGACACTCACACCACTGGGCCTCAACAAGCCCTGATTTTCAAAATACTCAGAACACTTCCTGAGCTCACCTGAGAGATGCTGTCTTTGGAGTTTGTTCCTGGTGAGTTTTAGAGAGAGCCTTCCTTCCCTCCCTCCCTCCCTCCCTCCCTCCCTCCTTCCTTCCTTCCTTCCTTCCTTCCTTCCTTCCTTCCTTCCTTCCCTCCCTCCCTCCCTCCTTCCTTCTTCCCTTCTTTCCCTCCCTCCTTCCTTCCTTCCTCTCTCCCTCCCTCCCTCCCCCCTCCCTCCTTCCTTCCTTCCCTCTTTCCTTCCTCCCTTCTTTCCCTCCCTCCATCCATCCTTCCTTCCTCTCTCCCTCCCTCCCTCCCCCCTTCCTTCCTTCCCTCCTTCCTTCCTTCTTTCCCTCCCTCCTTCCCTCCCTCCTTCCTTCCTCTCTCCCTCCCTCCCTCCTTCCTTCCTTCCTCTCTCCCTCCCTCCCTCCTTCCTTCCTCTCTCCCTCCCTCCCTCCCTCCTTCCTTCCTTTCTTCCTCCCTCCTTCCCTCCCTCCTTTTCTTCCTTCCTTCCTCTCTTGCTCCCTCCCTCTCTCCCTCCTTCCCACCCCGCTTTCTTTTCTTTTCTTGCTCTGTCACCCAGGCCAGAATGCAGTGGTATGATCTCAGTTCACTGCAACCTCTGCTCCCTGGTTTCTAGTGATTCTCCTGCCTAAGCCTCCCAAGTAGCTGGAATTAGAGGCGTGCGCCACCACACCGGGCTAATTTTTGTATTTTTAGTCGAGGTGGGATTTCACCATGTTGGCCAGCATGATTTTGAACTAGGGTGATCCGCCCACCTCAGCCTCCCAAAGTGCTGGGATTACAGGCTTGAGCCATCCCACCTGGCCCAGCTCTAACTTTTAAACCTGGTCCCTGGCCAGCTCTCTTCTCGACTTTTTGGGACCTGAGCTGTCCTTTGTCTCTGTGACCTGCCTTACAGGTGTTTCTGGGGTCCGGCCTGAAGCAGCACCTGGCTGGTGAGATCAGGGTCCAATTCTCACCTTCCTCCCAGTACCCCCACTCAGCTCCTGAGCCTGTCACCCCTGGCTGTGCACAGCCCTCGCCTGGGAAGCATCTTCAAAATTCTAGTGCCTGCTCTTCCCTGCAACTCCAGGATAATGGCACACAGAGCACCAGTCGGGGCCCTGGCCTCTGTTGCAGGCACACCTCCAATGCACTTTGACCTGCATGCTAAGTTTAGAACGTAAACCCAGGCAGGGGCCGCTCCCCAGCAGGGGTTGAGGTTCAAAGAGCTTGAAGGAAATACCTGCCTGGAAAGACAGGTGGGTTGAGTTCCTCTCCAGAACTTTCCAGACAATAATCAGGCTGTGCGTTAAATCCGGCAAGACTTAGCTCCAGACCCAGTTGATCTGCAGCCAGGCTACTGTTGGGAGCATTAGCGCTTCCATCCTTGATCCATCTTTCCACGTGGCCCCCAGACAGAGAGCACTTCCAACCTAAGCATAAAAATACAGAGGGGAGGCCAGGTGCAGTGGCTCACCCCTTTAATACCAGCACTTTGGGAGGCCGAGGCGGGTGGATCACTTGGGGTTGGGAGTTCAAGACTAGCCTGGCCAACATGATGAAATCCCATCTCTACTAAAAATATATAAATTAGCTGGGCATGGTGGTGGGCACCTGTAATCCCAACTACTCCAAAGGCCAAGGCAGGAGGATCACTCGAAACCAGGAGGCAGAGGTTGCAGTGAGCTGAGATCATGCCACTGCACGTTAGCCTGGGTGACAGAGCAAGACTCCAACTCAAAAAAAAAAAAAGGGGAAAAAAAAGAAAGAAACCCAGAGAGAGCACTGTTATTTACCCTGATGCCTCGTTTTCCAGTATGCAGCATGAATAGAGCTGACCACATTAGCACAGGGCCCACCGCCGTCCTACAGGAACATACTGCAGCCTCGGTCTACCCCTCCCCGTTCGTTCCCAGGAAACTGGAGTTGATCATTCATTCTCAGACACCCTTCAGCGCAGACTGGAGGATCTCAAACTTGAACACGCACGAGAGTTCCTGTACGGAGCTGTGGACCCTAAGCCACACATGCTGTTCCGATGGCAAGTCAGGGGGCTTTCCGGGTAGTTCTGCTTTCTCTCTGTGTGTGGAGAGCTCCACAGTGATTCTGGGGCAGGCAGGGTTGAGGGCCCCTTATCAGTCACCTGACCCCTCCCCTCTTTCCCGATGTCACCTCCAATCTGCTAACCTCAATCCCTATACTCCGGCCACAGAGACATTTCTCTGATCTTCGCCTTGAAACCTGGGCCCTTGCTCTTCTCTATGCCTGGCACACCCTCCTCACAGGTCTTTACACAGCAGGTCGATTCTCACCCTTTAAGTCTTGCCCAAGGTCACCTCCTCTGAGAAGCCCTCCCTGACCACCCAGGCTAAAGGAATCCACCCTCCCATGAAACGCTTCTCACACCTGCCACATCTGTGTCAGTCTGCTGCCTTTAGAGGGTTAAGTTCACAGCTCTAGTTACAGCAGCTACAACAGTGTCTGGAGGTGGGTCATTCCCCTGTTTAAGCATCTGCTGTTCTTGATCATCGACGTCCTTCACTTCAAAGGACAGTAAGGTCCTCATTTTGTAGAGAAACCCCATCTCTACAAAAATACAAAAATTAGCCAGGTATAAGCTAAGAAAGAATTTAGGAGAATGACTAGGGCTGACCATATTAGCAATGGACCCACGGTAGGAGGCTTCAGGGCCGCCCTGCCCGAGTCCCTCCAGTATTCACTGCTTCCTTGCATGAGACCCAGAAGGGGCCTGGCTATCTCCGCTTGCGGACAGGCTCTGCCCCCAGGAGCCTGCTCTGCTTGTGTGCAGATCAAGGGGGAAGCGCCAGAAATTAATGGCCCAGGGAACAGCCTTCAGTAATGATAAGAAGTTGGATAAGTAGCCCAGCTTCCATGTCTATCAGATGGGTCAAGGCCAGGTCTGCACTGCCTCCCAGAGGCCCCAGTAGAGGAGCTGCCTGCAGCGGTACCTGCCCAGTCAAACACTGCACAGTGCTGGCTTCCTTCCCTTCCCTGACACACCTGACACACGCAACACTCCCCGGAACGGAACTGCAAGCCATCCCTTGGCTCAGCAGCCTCACAGTGATGAATCCAACCTCTGCAGAGAAGGCACCCTGGTGTTCTAAGTCCTGGGCAGGGACAATCTGCCCCGAGGAGAAGGATGAAAGTTTGCTGGTGGTCTCCTTCAGCTCCGATGTTGAGTCTCAGGTTCCTGGAAAAAGGGACTCCTTGGGTTCCCTGGCTCCTGCCCCATAGACAAATTAAACTGGACAAGGTGACAAAAGGTGTCATTTAAAAAAGTCTTAGGGCAGGGCTTGGTGGCTCATGACTGTAATCCCAGCACTTTGGGAACTTGAAGTCAGGAGTTTGAGACCACCTGGGCGACATAGTGAGACTCTATCTCCACAAAAATATTAAAAACTTAGCAGAGTGAGGTGGCATGTATCTGCAGTCCCAGCTTCTTGAGAGGTTGAGTCAGGAGGATCGCTTGAGCCCAGGAGTTCAAGGCTGCAGTGAGCTATGATCGCACCACTGCACTTTAGCCTGGGCAACAGAGCAAGACCCTGTCTAAAAAAAAAAAGAAAAAGTGGCTGGGTGTGGTGGCTCACCCCTGTAATCCCAGCACTTTGGGAGGCTGAGGAGGGCAGATACCGAGGTCAGGCATTCGAGACCAGCCTCACCAACATGGTGAAACCCCATCTCTACTAAAACTACAAAAATTAGCTAGTCACAGCGGCATGTGCCTGTAATCCTAGCTACTTGAGAGGCTGAGGCAGGAGAATTGCTTGAACCCAGGAGGTGGAGGTTGCAGTGAGCCAAGATAGAGCCATTGCACTCCAGCCTGGGCAACAGAACAAGACTCCATCTCAAAAAGAAAAGAAAAGAAAAGTCAGGCTGGGCGTGGTGGCTCACACCTGTAATCCCAGCACTTTGAGAGGCCAAGGCAAGTGGATCACTTGAGATCAGGAGTTCGAGACCAGCCTGGCTACTATGGTAAAACCCCATCTCTACTAAAAAATATAAAAATTAGCTGGGCACGGTGTTGGGTGCCTGTAATCCCAGCTATTTGGAAGGCTGAGGCAGGAGAATCGCTTGAACCTGGAAGGCAGAGGTTGCAATGAGCTGAGATTGTGCCATTGTACTCCAGCCTGGGCAACAAGAGCAAAACTCTGTCTCAAAAAAAAAAAAAAAAAAAATAGTCAAAGTCTTTTGGCTAAAGACTGCAGGGGGAATGAGATGTGGGACAGAAGGGTGGGGAAAGGAGGTGAGATGCCTGGAGAAGCTGAGGTCCAGGGAACCCACTCTACCCAGAGCAAGCTCTCTGCAGGCAGGACTCAAGCAAAAGCAATAACCGCAGATGAGAGCACAGAAAGTTTTGTCACTCCTCCCTCCCAGAGGTATTTCTAAGGCCTCTATTTTCTTGCCAGTTGGCTAAGAAGCAAAAAAGGAACAATAGATTCAAGCTGAAATAATTTGCATTTATGATGAACACAAGGAATATCTACCTTGCATTTTCCTAAAAAAGAAAAATTAAACCCCGTTTTTAATTAACTGATAAACTATTAATCAAATTTTTGCAATGTTAGGTGACACATTATTCATTTAGATAGAATGACTGTGAACTTAAACTAATCAAATCTGATTTGCCCACATAGGCTTGATTGAAATACATTTTAACTAGCATATACAAAGAGAAAATCTTGGATTTCTTACCTAATCTTCAGAGTATACTGCTGAGTTAATAAGGGCAGTTTTTTTTTAAATGAGACCACCATTTCTTCATCTGCATATCAAAATCAAGAGGAACTTAATTGCAAAACACATATTCCTGAAATCTAATCATTACACTGCTTTAGGGTATTTTATTGAAGCATGTTAAATTATGGACAGAATATTAATGATGAAACTAATCAAACCCAATTAGTCACTTCTAACAATAGTCACATAAATATACAAGTCAGGTACTAAAGTACTGTAGATACGATGTAAAAATGGTTAAAATCTTAAATGTATGGAATATTTATGAAATATTCATGTGGAATTTAAAGCCAAAATTATTGGGGAAAGTCACTATAAAGAAAATAAGTTAGGCGGTGTCCTACGCTGTTTGACCAAAATTCACAAGTTCCTTCGGGTACATTCAAATCCAGGAGATTAGCGAGTCTATAATCAATCAATCAGCAAAATTTGAATAAGATGACTTACCATATTCATGACCTGGTATTTCATTCTTGCATCCAGAGACTTTTTTTGGATTTTTGTTTTCTGACTTTTTCAGGGCCTTTTGGAAAGGGGTCTCCAGGCCTTGGGAAAGCAGATGGAGTGGTGGATGAAGTTTTCTGGGGCTGGGGATTTGCCATCTGCACTGTCTCCTTCCCTGCCTCCTGCCCCAGGTGCAGAACTGGCTCTGGGGGCAAAAGAAGTGAGGGCAGAAGAGAGGAGTCACTGTCTGGGGGCCTCCTCCTCCTCCTCCTCCTCCTCCCACACCTGAGGCTGCAGAGGAAACTGAAAGGCCCAGGGAGCCCTTGGCCTTGGCCTGCGAGGAGTCTTGGTGGAAGATTCCAGGCCTGGGAGCTGAGCCAAAGCAGACAGGCAGCACTGGGTCTGCGGTTCCCCAGGCAGAGACCTCCCTCTGCTTCAGTTCAAGCCAGTCCCCTTTGGCTACCAGGGCCCAGACCGCAGCATCAGCACATGTACAGCCAGCAGTTTCATCACGGGGTAGCTACAGCTGCCTTTTAATCAGGGAGTTGTCAAGCCTCACCATTTACTTTTCTGTCCCTTACTCTGTTCTAGTGTCCACTCCTGACCCCCCATTTCCTCCCTCCAGACTTCTTTCCAGGATGCTGCAATCCTGCCACATGTGCTGGGAATTTCAGCTTCTCAAGAGAGCAGGCTGGCAGCACTGGGCCCTGCTCTGGCCAAACATCTCAAGTGGAGTGCCAGAGGAAACAGGAAACATTGTTCATCCATCCATCCATCCATCCACCTATCTTATCCACCTACCCATCCATGCATCCATTCACCCATCCACCTATTCATGTACACATTCATGCACCCATCCATCCATCCATCTACCCATGTATCCACCCATCTATCCATCCATCTACCCATGCATCTATCCCATCCACACACCCACACATCCATCTACCCATCCATACACTCATGTATCCATCCATCTACCCATGCATCTATTCCATCCATCCACCCATGCATCCATGTACCCATTCATGTATCTATCTATCCATCCATTTACCCATGCATCTATCCCATCCATTCACTCATCCATGCATCTAGTCATCCATCCATCCCTCCATCCATGCATCCATCAATCCATCCATCCATCCATCCACCCAACCATCCATCCATCTTCCCATCCATCCACCCATCTGTCTATCCATGCATCTATCCCATCCACCCACCCATCCATCCATGTATCCATTTATCACCCATCTATTCAGCCATCTACCCATGCATCTATCCTATCCACTCACTTATCCATGAATCCATCCATCCACCCATGTATCCATCCATCCATGTATCCATGCATCCCAGAAACATTTACCAAGGACAAATATGTCCCGGGGCCAGTGCTGGACTCTCCCCAAGCTTAGGGAGCATATTACAGAAGCGGACTTTGTGTTGCTTTTTCTTGCACAGCATGCATGCTCCTGCTTCAGATAAAGGTGTTTATATTGTCCTTTGAAGGACCCCTCTGCTACACTTTTATTCCCTGAGGTCTAGAGGGCTGCTCCATCCCTCAGTCCACAGTGGCCCCGTGATCCAGGCCTACCCTAGTCCCTGAGATGGGCTCACAGGCAGGCACGTGACCAGGGTGTCGTGCTGGGAGTTTTGCTGGAACTAAAAGAAGAGATAAGCCCTTTGCTGCTTGTGGCCTCTTGAGGGAGAGGTTGGGACCATAAAATGGACATGGCCTGCCCAAGACTGAAGCCAACAAAGGCGAGGAGGCCAAATCCTTACGGCATTGATGGGACTCCCGGATCCCACTGTGCCCAGAAGTTTCCACTGACCTGAGCTGATAGCTCTTTTTCCTTTAGCCAGGTTGAATTGTATTTTCTGTCACTTGCAACCAAAGGAGTCCTGGCTCATAAAGAAGAGAAACAGGGAAGACACTATCTAGACCCTCAGAGCTGCAGCAATCCAAGGGCATTGTGAGGTGCTGAAGGCAGGACACAGCCTCTTGGCTTCTGCAGCTTCAACTATGGAAACAGGAGATTGGAGAGAAGGCCCAACAGGGCTATGTCTTACCCCTTTGTGACTAGTGATGGGTGGCATGTGAAGCGACTGTGTTCTCCTCACAGGTGAGGAGATCCCATGGCCCATACCTGACTGGATTTGGTCACAGATGTGCCAGGGTGGATACATTCTAGCGAGTTTGCATGCCAGACTGGTACTGAAAACATAGTATTGATCTGAGAGTCCTTCTGTCAAGAATTTCCTTCTTACCTGGCATTCAAGGCTCCCCATGGGCTAGTCCCAGCCTATCTCTGCACTGCTCCAGCTGCACTCCGCACTTTGTTGTCTGGAATTCTCCATCTCTGTCATTTCATTCTTTACATCCCAGCTCCAATGCCACTTCCTCCATGAAGTCTTCCCTGATTCTTGCCAGCTCCGTTGGATATTTTCCTGCTCAGAAGCCTGGTTGGGGAGAAGGGATCGTTCTTACAGATCCCCCATAACCTTTGCTTTCTGTACCTCGGAGTATAAAAGGGAAATCTGGGTGTAAAGCTGGTATCTGCCTTTGGGTGGGGACACAGCAGCAGAAAGAAAGATACAGAGTTTAGCACAAGATGAAAACCTCAGCCCAAGATAAATGGCGGAGTCTGCAGTGAGGCCAGTGGATGCCTCAGAGGACTGGGCGTGAGAGTGGTATTGAAATTACCCACTTCTAAGCTCCAGGGAGAGGCTAGTGCTCTTGGCCTTGGTGGAGGTCTGTGACCCAGGTTCCCTACCCAGGAGCTGCCTTTTCCTTCCAGCCTCCTGGCACCATCAGGAAGGGTTGCTTGGCAGGCCAACTCCAAACTTCAATGCAGAATGTCCCCAGGTTCTATAAGCCTCCACCCTCAAGTTCCCAAGGGGTCTACTTGAGAGGTAGCCTCAGGTCAACGTGTGGCTCAGGTTCCTGGGCCATTGGTGCATTTCCATAGCAGGCTAAGCTGGACCTTGGTCAAGTGTCATATGTGGTTTTCTTTTTGAGACAGAGTCTTGCTCTGTTGCCCAGGCAGGAGTACAGTGGCATGATCCTAGCTCACTATAGCCTCTACTTCCCAGGTTCAAGCGATTCTTCTGCCTCAGCCTCCCAAGTACCTGGGGTTACAGGTGCCACCACCATACCGGCTGATTTTTGTATTTTCAGTAGAGACGGGGTTTCTCTTTTTTTTTTTTTTTTTTGAGATGGAGTTTTGCTCTTGTTATCCAGGCTGGAGTGCAACGGCGCGATCTCGGCTCACCACAACCTCCGCCTCCTGGGTTCAAGCAATTCTCCTGCCTCAGCCTCCCAAGTAGCTGGGACTACAGGTGCACGTCACCATATCCAGCTAATTTTTGTATTTCTAGTAGAGACGGGGTTTCACCATGTTGACCAGGATGGTCTCGATCTCTTGACCTCGTGATCCATCCGCCTCGGCCTCCCAAAGAGCTGGGATTATAGGTGTGAGCCACCACGCCTGGCCGAGACGGGGTTTCTCCATGTTGGCCAGACTGGTCTCAAACTCCTAACTTCAGGTGACCCACCAGCCTCAGCCTCCCGAAGTGCTGGGATTAAAGGCTTGAGCTACCTCACCCAGCCTTCAAGCCATTTTAAATCCATGCCATCATCACATTATTCGATTTTCCTCCATCCCATACTGGGTTTCCTGTAGGAGGTGTGGCTGCTGTGGGTTTCAGCTAAGCAACTTAGCCTCAGCCTCTTTATCTGTGAAATGGACTTGGTAATGGCTAACCAATGGCGCTTAGACAATGCAAGCCAGCTTTTTTAGCCTTGTAGGGGTCAGATCTGATGGGTGAACCATAGTCCATCGCTTTGCAGCAATCAGTTCTGGGCCTGTGCTCTTGTTTTTGTCAAGAAGAAGAGCGTCTATACCGATGAAACAAGAATCTATTTCAAGTCAAGCAGAACTTCTGTGAAAGCTGGGGTAGCATCCCATGTTCCCATGGTTTGCTGCAGGGGGAGCTGGGGCACCCTTAGGAAGGCCCACTTTTTCCTGCCAGGAAGCTGAGGAGGCAGTGGGCACATCGGTACTTCTTTCTCCTCTCCATTCTGTGGGGCTGCAGAATTTGTGGGCAGCCCCGGTGGCTTCATAGCTACTCCCGCCGCCCACCTGGCAGGCCTCCATTCCTTCTAAATGCAGTCCAGGCCTCTGTCCTCTCCCACCCCAGGCCAGGAAAGACCCACAGAGGGGAGGCAGGTCTCATGGTCCAGGCAGACTGATACCTCAAAAAGGGAGCATTGTGTCATCAGAGACACACCTGCGGGGAGGACTTATTTCTGCTCTGGACTCCCACAGCGGTCTGGACTTATCTCTGGTTTGCAAGCTCCCCCCGACCCCACACACATGCTGAAACACTCTGCTTCACTCTAGAAAGAGGAGAACTACTTAGATGACTGACCGAACCTGGAAGTTTGGGCCGCCATGGATCTTCCTGGAAACATCTGGAAGTTGACTTGTAAGCTGTTGAAGCATCGTCAAGTCCCACATCACAATGAGATGCACTCCAGGCTAATTAGGCTTTAAACTGTCTTTTTTTTTCTTTTTTTCTTTTGAGACAGTCTCACTCTGTTACCCAGGCTGAAGTGCAGTGGCATAATCTCGGCTCACTGCAATCTCCACCTCCTGGGTTCAAGCCATCCTCATGCCTCAGCCTCTCGAGTGGCTGGGACTACAGGTGTGCACCACCACACCTGGCTAATTTTTGTATTTTTAGTAGAGATGGGGTTTCACCATGCTGGCCAGGCTGGAGTCAAACTCCCGACCTCAAGTCATCCATCCGCCTCAGCCTCCCAAAGTGCTGGGATTGCAGGCGCAAACCACCACACCCAGCCCTAATTAGGTTTTAAACCTTCTGAACTGCGTAATTTTGGAGGATTTTGGTTCTACTGATTGAAAACATAAAAATGCAACTCTTCTTTTTTTTTTTAAGACACGGTTGCACCATGTTGGCCAGACTGGTCTTGAACTCCTGACCTCAGGTGATCTGCCCACCTCAGCCTCCCAAAGTGCTGAGATCACAGGCGTGAGCCACCATGCTCAGCCCGCAATTCTTCTCATTCAATGAGCACAAACCCCGACTGCCATCAGGGAAGACTGGCATCCACTGGCCTGATTGTCACATAACTCCCGGTGCGGTTGCATGGCTGCTGGGAGGCATGGTCACTGGGGAGGGTTGCACCACGACTGAGCAGTGCCCCAGCTCTGTGGGAGTCACACGTCTCCCCGAAGTGCCTGTTTAGTTACCAAGCCATTAAACCAAGTATCAAAATAAAATGAACTTGGAACCAGGCTTTCAAATTGCTTCATCGCAAAGTGTTCATCAAGATTTTCAAAAATAATGAAGCACATTTAATCACATTGCCATTCACTAAGAGTATCATAATTAATATTTGGGTGACAGCTAAAAGATTGTGTTGTTAATAAATAAGTTATGTTAAATATTGTTTATATTTAGCTTATCCTTAAAACAGCTAATCTGTGTATGTTTTATTATAAACATAGTGAAATAGTCCTATAGTACATGTATATTGGTGACACATCTTTGTTTGGGATCCCCTGAAATCATACCTGAGATAAAGAAGGGGTGCAGGTAGTTTATTTGGGACTTGATTTCAGGAAGCTTGAGGGAGAGAGTAGGTAAGGAGACAAGGGGCCCGGCAGCCTATAATCCCAGCACTTCGGGAGGCCAAGGGGGGCAGATCACTTGAGGCCAAGAGTTCAAGACCAGCCTAGCCAACATGGCAAAAACCCATCTCTACCAAAAATACAAAAGTTAGCTGGGCATGGTGGCGTGCACCTGTAATCCCAGCTGCACTGGAGGCTGAGGCAGAAGAATCACTGGAACCCAGGAGGCAGAGGTTGTAGTGAACCAAGATCACACCACTGCACTCCAGCCCCTGGGCAAGAGAGTGAGAATCTGTCTCAAAAAAAAAAAAAAAAAAAAAAAAGGAGACAGGGAGAGTGCATTTAGGACAGGCTCACCTCCCTCCATAGGGCCTTTTGAGATACCAGGTAGAATGCATACAAATTGTTCCACTGAGGAGTGGGGAAGCTGGGATATTTTCCCCCCATTTCTGTCCTTTTTTGGTCAAGAGTTGCCCTTAGGAGCCGGGTGCAGTGGCTCATGCCTGTAATCCCAGCACTTTGGGAGGCTAAGCAGGAGAATCACCTGAGGTCGGGAGTTCAAGACCAGTCTGGCCAACATGGTGAAACCTGGTTGTTACAAAAATTAGTCGGACATGATGGGGGATGCCTGTAATCCCAGCTACTTCGGAGGATGAGGTGGGAGAATCACTTTAACCCAGGAGGTGGGTGTTGCAGTGAGCTGAGATTTTGCCATTGCACTCACTTCAGCCTGGGCGACAGAGTGAGACTCTGCCCCCGCCCCAAAAGAGAGAGAGACAGAGAGAGAGAGAGAGAGAGAGAGAGAGAGAGAGAGAGAGAGAGAGAGAGAGATCTGTGCTTGTAAACATTTGGCTGAAAAGGGCAAATAACCAAAAACTGGGTAAAGCTGGCACAGTGGCTCACACCTGTAATCCCAGCACTTTGGGAAGCTGAGGCGGGAAGAACGTTTTAGAATGGGAGTTCAAGATCAGCCTGGGCAATGTAGCAAGACTCTTTCTACAAAAACTTTTTTTAAAAATAAAATAAAAATTAGCAGGGCATGGTGGTGCACACATGTATTCCCAGGTATTTGGGAAGCTCAGGCAGTAGGATCCCTTGAGCCCAGGAGTTCCAGGCGGCAGTGAGCTATGATTGTGGTACCACATTCCAGCCTGGGTGACAGAGTGAAACCTTATCTCTAAAACAAAACTAAACTGAATGGAGACTACTCATCTTGAGATTTTTAGGAAGTGGCAATGAACGGGTGATGGGGAGTAACTGCTATTTGAATCCAATCTCTATCCTTGTTATTAACAATGAAAGCCCACCGACGCCCGCCCCCCCACCCCTCGCCACCATCCACCCCTTGCTCTTTGGCACCCAGCCCAGATTATTTAATGGGTAAAATCTATCAAAGCCTAAAGGACAAGAAAATAATTGTGCTGCTTTAACTGTCCCAGAGCATAGAAAAAGACCTGCTATGTCCCTAAATGAAGACTTAGTGTTGGAATTGTAGGCATTCCCCTTGGATTAGTCTACAAATTTAGTGTAATTCCAATCAAAGCAAAGGGAAGCTCATTCTGTCAAAATTTTTATGGCTTTCTTTTAAGAGCTTCTGAAAGGCACCCCTCGATGCCTTTGAATTTTATTTTTTTAATCAAGTTAATTGAGGTATAATTTCCATACAAAAAAAGTGCATCCATTAGAAGTGTGCACTTTGATGAGTTTGGCAGACCTGTGCACCCCTGAAAACACCAAGACTGAGACACAGAATATTTCCAACACTTCCAAAAGTTTCCTCACGCCCTCTTCAGTCCCCTCCCCAAGCCCTGGCCACAGGGACCACTGACTCCTTCCCGTTACTAGAGATCGGTTTGCATTTTCTAGATTTTATTTAAGTGGAATGATGCTGTACACATTTTTTTTTGTATGTGGCATTTTTCACTCTGCATGGCTCTCTTGGTGTTTAGCCATGTGGTCCATTCAGGTAAATTACCAAGTCATTTCCCATGGCACAAATATACCATATTTTGTTTGTCAGTTCACCTGTTTTGTCATGTATGTTATTTCCAGTCTTTCTTTCTTTGGCTCTTGTGAATCAACATAAACCTTTTTTTTTTTTTTTTTTTTTTTTTTTTTGAGACGGAGTTACCCAGGCTGGAGTGCAATGGCACGATCTCGGCTCATAGCTACCTCCGCCTCCTGGGTTCAGGCAATTCTCCTGCCTCAGCCTCCCGAGTAGCTGGGATTACAGGCACGTGCCACCATGTCCAGCTAATTTTTTGTATTTTTAGTAGAGACGGGTTTCACCATGTTGACCAGGATGGTCTCGATCTCTTGACTTCGTGATCCACCACCTCGGCCTCCCACAGTGCTGGGATTACAGGCTTGAGCCACCGCGCCCGGCTTTTTTTTTTTTTTTTTTTTTTGAGAAAGAGTCTCACTCTTTCCCACAGTCTGGAGTGCAGTGGCACAATCTCGGCTCACTGCAACCTACGCCTCTCCGGTTCAAGCAATTCTCCTGCCTCAGCCCCCGGAGTAGCTGGGATCACAGGCATGCACCACCATGTCCGGCTTGTTTTTGTGTTTTTAGTAGAGACGAGGTTTTGCCATGTTGGCCAAGCTGGTCTCAAACCCCTGACCTCAGGTGATCAGCCCACCTTGGCCTCCCAAAGTGCTGGGATTACAGGTGTGAGCCACCGCGCCCAGCCGTACATTTTTTGCTTGTTCAAAGCAGAAGAAACCTCAGACATTGCACGGTTTTAGGATTTAGCCCTACTGCGATCGTGAGCTTCCTGTCTAGGAGGACAATAAGTACCTCGGTTCTACTCGGTGAGGACCCCCAGGTCCTTCCCACCCCTGGAGCCACCTGTCACTTGAGCTGAGAGATCAGCCGTGAGGAGCAGAGCCATTTCTGGCTGAGACGAATTGTTCTGGGGGTTGGTTAGTTAGCAGGAGAGCTCAAGGGAGAAGAAAACTGTGTCCAGGGGTTGAACACTTCCAGATGAAGAAGGCGAGGCGTAGAGGACTCTTGTCACTAGGAAACGTATCTGAGACACATGTGCAGCTAACATACTTTATGGCGAAATGTATCCGTCTGCAGCAACCATACTTCTTGCCTCCCTCCTCGGAAGAAAGAATTTGACTGATGGGCATAAGGCAGGAGAGACCCAGACAAGTTTTAGAGCAGGAGTGAAAGTTTATTAGAAAGTTTTGAAAAGCATTGTGCGTGGTGGCTCATGCCTGTAATCCCAGCACTTAGGGAGGCTAAGACGGGTGCAATCTCATCTCACTGCAACCTTCGGCTCCTGGGTTCAAGCAATTCTCCTGCCTCAGCCTCCCGAGTAGCTGGGATTACAGATGCAGGCCACCATGCCCTGCTAATTTTTGTATTTTAGTGGAGACAGGGTTTCACTATGTTGGCCAGGATGGTCTTGATCTCTTGACCTCATGATCCACCCACCTAAGCCTCCCAAAGTGCTGGGATTACAGGCATGAGCCACTGCACCCGGCTTATCTGTATTTTTTTAGAGATGAGATCTCTTGCT